GAGTGTTAGCTAACCTATAATACGAAGCATGAAAAGTCAACGCGGCTTGCGTAGTTCTCTTCATGTGGCAACCCTATGAAGCCAACAAAAGGATCTGCAATCTACTCCGACGGATCCCGAGCTTGATACGCATTATCCGGATGCTCCGGTTGGCGTAGAAAGGAACAGCGCCGATCAACGCGTTGTTCCTCCCAGTACACTGGCCAACATGACGAGCTGTGTGCCATGCAATAGCATTGCTTCCGTCGATCTCCACGCTGCGTTCCTCTCGGCCTACTCGGACTACCTCGTGCGCTTTGATGTGGCGTTGGAGCAGTGGCCGACGCTGCTGGCGCGCCACGGCGTCGACCTCGGACTGAGTCGGGCTGTGATCGACGCCGACGGCCGTATTCTTGCCTTTGCGTTGGCGTCCCAGCGCCCCGAAGGATCCAGATTCCGCCGCCTCGCGTCACTCGGCGTCGTGGTCGCGGCGCGGCGGGCCGGTCATGGTGCACGCCTTCTTGACGACTTTATTGCACGCGCGACAGCGGACGGCTTGGGCACGGAGCTCGAGGTGTTTGCACAAAACGAAAAGGCACTGCGGCTCTACGAAAGCCGAGGGCTCGCCACCGCAAGCCCGCTCTTTGGCTACGTTGCCGAGCCGAGCAAGGTGCCAACGACATCCGTGTGCACGCCCGGGTACCTCGACGCGTCCGCAGCGTTCGCGTACCTTGCGAGTCTCCCACTGGCGATGGACCTGCCCCTCCAAGTGCTTCCAACAACGCTGCGTTTGTCCTCCGCACCGTTCGAGTGCTGGAAGCTCGGCGATGCGCTATTGGTGTTTGCCGCCAAGGACGATGCGACCGTACAAGTCGCGTGCCTCGTCGACCCGTCACCAAGTCAGCAGGACGCGAGGCTCCTCGCCCAGGAGCTTCGCCACCGATTCGCTGACGCGACGTGCAGCGTGCCTCCACTGCAGCGACTGGACGCCGGCGGCCTCGGGCTCGAGGATGCTGGCTTTGAGCGCATGCCACTTCACCAACTGCTGCTTCGTCGCCCTTGCCAGCTCAGTAAGCCGTAGACAATACGAGCGGATTCTTGCTACCATTTAGCCCATCTAATACTGAACGCGATCCAGCGTGCAGAGGTTGATACCGCGATCGGCAATGACGTTAAACAGGCACGACGTACAAGTTAAAAAGGTTAAATTGATTTTCAGTGTTGGTGCATGCGACTCTCCAACGCCAGCGGTGGGCAATTTTCACTCTGCGAGGTTTGGATGAGAGCGACAGCATGGGCACGCCCTTGGCGTCGGCGGCCTTGACGACGGCGGTCGGTCGGTGAGAAAGCCGGCTTTTTAGCACATGAATTAAAATAGCTTGGTTTTTGTATGTGCTTTGAATGGTGGCATTTGGCGCGCTGTAAAAATAGCCAATCCGAGCGCAGGACGTGAAAAACTTGAAAACGTCGCCGGGATGGCCGACACGGACCACATCCGGAGCGTCCAGAGCCACCTCCAGCGCGGCGAGAAGGAGGCCCGCGCAGCGCTGGAGGCGTCGCTTAGGGACAACCTGGCATGGATCACGCTCTTCTCGACGGCGGCCAAGAAGGAGCTCCGGCGGCCGTCCATCAATGCCAAGAAGCGACGGCTCGTGCTCGACCTGGCCTCGGACGACGATGTGCCCAGCATGCCAAAGCGACCACGAGTCGATGCCGCGCCGATTGACGACAATTCGATCGCCGCGAGCAAGTCCTCGCCGACGCCGAGCGTCGCGGCAAGTCCCTTGAAGGCTGACGTGCCACCGCCGCAGATCAAGCCGAGCAACCCTAAGAAGAAGTCAAACACGGTCATCGTCATCGAGTCCTCGTCCGAGAGCGACAGCGAAGACGACAACCAGTCGGCCAAGAGCGTTGCAGCTGTGGTGCGCGACCCGGCGAAACTCAAGGTGCCCGAACTTCGCAAAGCGCTGAGTGAGCGCAACCTCAGCACATTTGGCCTTAAAGCCAAGCTGGTGGAGCGACTCACTCAAGCCCTCGCAGCGAAAAAGCGCGCGAAGCCCGACGCGTCACGCCGGATGTAGCCGGCGTCGATGACTACGATGACGACGACGACGCGATTCTACCTCGGCTCAAATCCAAGGCCACCAAATCATTAACTAAGAGCGCTGCTAAACCAACAACGAAAACAGAGCCACCGAACCAACCAAGTCCTGACGCTGACGTGGCACCTCGCATGGAATCGCGCGTCAAGGCCGCCGAGGCGCCGTCGCCTGAACTCAAAGTGCCGTCGCCGGTCAAGCCTGCTTCACCTATCAAGCCTGCTTTACCGGTGCAACGAGCGTCGTCGCCGGTAGCCATCGCCGCGCCTGCGTCGCCAATCGCGGTAAAACCTTCGCTGACGCCACCGTCGCCCGTCGCTGCGCGAACCGCTTCCATGGCCGCTCGGGTATCGGAGGCTGTCTCCGAGCCGTCGCCGGTGGCCGCCGCATCACCACCCCGGGCCACCGTCGACTCGTTCGTGGACGAGACACCCATGGCCTCGCCCGAGCGGCCGCCGCCCGTGCACCACTCGCCAGGCAAGGTGCGCTCCAAGGAGCGCAAGCGCAAATGCCAACTGGTGCTCGGCGTCCGGCTCTTGCTCTTCTCGGCGCCGCTCTTCTTCGCGCAGCTCTTCTTCGCGCAGCTCTTCTCGGCGCAGCTCTTCTCGGCGCAGCGCGTCTCGGCGCAACTCTTCTCGGCGGAGCGCGTCTTGACGCAGCTCAAAGTCGCGTTCTTGCACCTTGTTGTCGTCGCCGCGCTTCTGGCCGTACGCTTGCGCTTCGTCGCGACGCAGTGGGTGGACATCGCAGTTCGATGCTGGCGTTGCTCCTTTCGTGTCCTTTCGACGCTGGGAGTCCGTGTCTGTTGTCCGTGGTGTCTTCTTGTCCGCTCTCGCTTTGCGGCTGCTCCATAGAGGCAGGAGGGTATCAAGGAGCGAGCGCTTCTCGAGGCAGACTTCCGAGCACTTGGAGTCGAGCAATGCTGCCTCGGTCTCGCTCCGATGGTTGCTCATGAGGGTCGTGAAGCGGACCTGCGCCTTGGTCGCGGAAAAGTTGGTGCGCGTAAAGCCCTCGGTGGCGACGACCTTGGCAGCGAGACTCGTCCACGCGCCCGCGACCAAGCCATAGCGCGCAAGGAAGGGCCGGTCCTTGGCCACCTCCCGGAGCAAGATGACGTCGTCGCCGTCGGTCCACTCGGGGCTCCTGTACATCCGCGGGTAGTACGCTCGTTGCTGCATATTGAACGAAACTGGAATCCTCGTAGGAACGTTTACGTGGTCCCATTGATTCAGCGTGTCGTGTCTCAATCCGGACAACCCATTGGCTATAATTGCGGCTTTTGTTTCACTCATCCAAGCCAATCGCATCGCGCGGATCATGTCCATTGAAGTGCGATTTTGTAGTCCTAAATGAGTGCTGACCATGTGAAACATTATACTTGATTTTGTATACATTTAGTACGACGCACTTTGCAGGGTACATCACTCCCTCCCAGCCGCACCTAAAAGAGCCCCTTGGCGCGGGTTGAAACTCCGGACAGCGGAAGCGCGCGGAGACCATACCGGTAGCAAGGACGCCCTCTAGTACCATGGGCCTCATGGGAAGCAGGTGGAGCCACGAATGGTGGACGAGGCGGAGCTCTTCCGGGAGCGGCAAGCGCAGAGGATACGAGAGACCCGAAGGAAGGCAAAACTCGCGAAGCGTGAACAACATCGCAGCGACCTCAGCAACTCGCTTCGTCTCCATGACAACGCCGGCAAATGCTCCGGACCAGCTCGGCGACCCAATTCACTCAGGTGCGATACCACATTGCGACGCAATACTGGATGTATCACGCGCATCATGTGATGCAGATCTGCAAGAACCGTCCATCGATGACAACCAAGGTAGTAATTGCGTCCCTCGATACATCAAGATGCCAATGCCAGCATTGACGTTTTGAGCTCCTCTACACCATGTTCTCTCGCGTTCGATCGACAGCCCACTTTCGGTGCATGCCCCTCTCGTCACCTTTGACCGCAAGCGTCTCCAAGCTGCGCCCCACCATTTTGGCGGTGCAGTGGCGCAAGTCCATTGGCGACGACCGGTACTGGCACTCGAGCAACAACGCATCGACCCCAACGCCAACCGTCCCAAAGCCGCCAAGGACACGAAGAAACGCGCGGCAACCATCGACCTGTCGACCCACAAGAAGCGCCCGCGCACCGACAAGAAGCTTGAATCCCCTCAAGACATGCGCAAGACCAACAAGGGCAAGAGCAAGACAAAGCCCAAGATTACAAAGTCGCCCACGAAGCGGTCGCGGGCTATCAACGTCAACTAGTGAACCACCTCGAAGCGATCTAATTTATGACTTGATGTTTGCGTGCGATTCGATTCTCAACCGAAAAGGTTCTACCAGTCAACGCAACATTGATTGGTGCCTTCGGTCTCGATCCGTTGTCGATTGTGTACACGGCTAATAGCAAACCTGCACCATGTTGATAAAATCCAAATGACACAAGCAGTTCCTAGTCTAAAAGTTGACGGAGCACTTGCCGTCGACGGAGATGGTGCGGGAGACGTACTCTCGGCCGAGGTGCTGCGCGTGGTCGAGCCAAACAGGGTAGAAAATCTTGTGCTCGTCAAACATATCACTCGACGCGCTCGCCCACGCGTGGCGCTGGAGGCGCATGGCGACCGGCGACATGTTTCTTGGGTGCAGCCAGCGCTGGTAGCCATAGTAAAACGTCCGCGAGACGCACTGGCTAAAGTCGCGCGACGTGGCCACAATCTCGTCCACCATTTCGCCCGTGCGTTCGTGCAGCACGTGGTCGACGCCAATGTCGTCGGCTGCAAACCCCTGGAATTCGTGCGTCGCGACTGTCACGGTCGGCATGCGATTGCTCTCGCGATGCATGATGGCGTGCACGACGTCCTTGATGTCGTCGAGGCTGCGGTAGCGCTCGCTCGGACGGTCGACGGGCGGCACAGCAGGTATCTTCTTGTGGGCCATGAAGGCCTCGACCGCGGCCTCGGTGAGCCGTAAGAAGTAGTGCACGGCGTTGCCGATCGTCGCCTTGTGCACGCTGTGCTGCGACAGGAAGATGGTTTCGGTGCGAATGCGCGAGTTAAAGAGCCCGAGCGCCTCGACCCAGGCTTTGGATGCGGCCAACGTGCCCGTCTCGCGCGCTTCCCACCAGCCGTTGGTCTCGTTGGCGTCGCCCGCCGTCACGTAGATAAAGACGGCTTTGGAGTTGGTCGCGTTGAGACGCTGTAGCACAGTCTCGGCCATGAAGAGCTCGTGGTCGTCTTGGTGCGCGGTGACGAAAAAGTGCGCTTCGTTGACCGTTTGCAGATTGTCGAGGAGCTTTCGCGGCGCGAGCCACGCCAGCGTCCGCGCCGGGTCGTGAGCTGGCGTGTGCAGCACGCACTCGCGTGTCACCGCGTCATAGACGGTTGCAAAGCAATTGTCCTTGGCCGGGAGGCACAGCGCGTCACAGGCAGCCGCACTCGGGGCTGAGAGCGTCGCCAGAATCGGTGTTGTT